CTTATTCCCTGCGAAGGGAATTTATTCACTTATTATTATTTTACATTATGTATACATTATTAAATGTTTTTATGTAAGAAAAATTCATTTCCAACCACAATTTTTAAGAATTTTTAACGAAATGCGAAATATCACTCTGAAACATTAGGTTTTTTCACAACACACACATACATTTGCCTTTTTATACGCTTCTTTTAATCTTTTCATTTATAAATTGCACAAAAATGCTTTGCTTAAATAATAAAAAAAAAAAGTATATTCATAATTATATTATAAATGCTTTGTAAAATTCCTCAAAGAAAGTAATCCTAAATCAAATCTTATTCAATCCTCTTTGGATTCTATTTATCTCTTAGTCTTTTTTCTTCTTCCTTTTCACATATTAATTATATAGAAATGAATCATATATATATATAGAAATGTATTCAAGTTATAATAAGCTGCTTTTATAAATGGCATATAAATTTTCATATGCAAAATTAAAGCAAATACTATTAAAGGTCCTTTTTATTCAAACTCTCCCTAGCCTCAACCCTATTTTCCTCTTCATTATTCTCCTTTTCCTCAACTGTCTCATGTAGAGCCTGATAGGCATAGCAGGAGATAATCAAGTTCACTGTAACCACAGCAGCCAACACTGAGATGCAATTAGTTGTAAAAGTATCTGTTTGAAGTTCTATTCTCATGTAATGCCGTACACCAAAGAAGGCGGCAAATGGCAATGTGAACATGGCAATGCTATACAGCAACAGTGTGCCCAGGACAATTAGCAAACTCATGTTCTTATCGTTCTTAATGTAAGAAATATTCTGCGAACGACAGGATCTGTCACGATCCTTCAACGTTCCTTTCCTATTTTGCTTTCTCTGCCGACTAGACAATATCTTGCAGTTGTGGATAATCAGTACCATGAAGAGATGCTTCTGCTACAGATTCTCTCTTATTTCTGCAAGCATAAAGGCTTTATTGGTGAACCAAGAGGCGATGTTACCTTTTCTAGGTGTCGCAGAGGATCTTGTGCTCTCAAGATTCTCTAATTCCTTTTGCAACAAATCTGCGTACGATAGGATGGTTTGAATTGGTTTAGATGGACCATGCAGATGCTTTTTGCCCCACAGCAGTTCCGTTATCAGTACTCGAGTCAGCCAAGGGTCCAACCGTGGCTGTTCTGTAAGAATCTGAGTCTTCTCAAGGAGCACATCCAACTGGAGGCCGGCTTTCAAAGTATTTACTGACAGAGCATAGATACCCGACACATTCTGTAGGAGAAAACGCTTCGATCAAGTTTCATTGAAATTAACGAAGTATCTTTTGCACGCTGTATATATAGATGCACATCACACACACGCACGCACGCATCAATTACCGTTTTATATTTATTTATCCTATGTACTCACAGGATGCTTTTTCTCATAAATGAGACCCTTCAAACTGGCTCCTTGCTCTTGGACGCAACGCACGATATTGGCTGTTATTTTGTAAATTCTCGGCACTTTCACCGAGTGTACGAATCCATCCGACATATTACAAGGTTTACAAGTGTTTATGCGTATTACTTCTGCACTACTCGGTACATTTTGCTCCTGCCAACATGTGTCACGTGCAAGGCCAAAGTTTCTATTAGCTACCGCTATGAGACACTACCATCTTTAATTGCGGAAGCCCGGATAAATTTGGCTGGTATTCAAAAGGCCTGTTTTTTCAGCTTAACCAGTGATGGATCTTCTTTCCTTTATCGCTAAGTTACCCACTTGTTATATCTAAAGAACCGGCACGAGCCAAATATCGATCGTATAAAAGTACAGCTAGGCTACACTTTCCGTTCTACCTGCGCTTTCCCATATTTTAACTCAGAGAATCATATTTGCTTATCAAACTATTTTTGGAGTCTTTCTTGCGAACATATTTAGCCCTGTACAGAGTTTTGCAATTAAAACCCTAAAAATTTACAATAAACGAAAATAATAAAATCAGACACTGATGCACTCAAAGTGCCGCAAGTGTAGGACCTTGAGTGCAGCAGACAAATCCGTAGTTTTATTAATTATAAATTTTATATTTGGCTTCTGCCGGGCCTCAAGATCGCCTCAAGTTCATCTCAAGAACATCTTTAGGTACTGTACGGATCGTTTCATTGGCTATAGAACATCTGAAGATGAACTGAAATTTGAAAGAAATCGTTCGGAGCGACACCAGCGAGACTGACCAATAGGACGATGTTGTGAACTGCCCGAGCCTACCACACATTTTTTATATATATACATTCGCTGTTATCGAGAGGTGCCTTGAAGTTTTAGGGGGCTTGTCCCGGCTATACAGAGTTTCTAGACCATAAAGAAGAAGACTCAAACGGGCGAGAACACGGTGGCTGTTGACGGCAGCCATCTTAACACGCGCCATCTGCACCGTGCTCTAATGAAGTTCGAAGTCTTTGTAGAAATCCACAACCAATTCGCTTTTCCAACCAAGTTACCGTCTTCGTGGTGGTGCGGGCCGAAACCTGGCCGCGTCGTCGTCGACGCATTTGAGGTTAATTTCTCTGTTGTCCCGGTACGAGAAAACGTCCTTACTTTGTGAACCTAACCTTAACTTTCCATTAAACCGCATTCTGAAGTGGCATTTTTTTCAGACCACCAGCTCGACATTAATTTACAAACAAAAGGCAATTTGACAGATTTGGGACTAAAGGCAGGGACCCCCAATGGGACATTAACTTCACTCGCAGTATCATATATTTTTATAGCTGGAGCTGCACTCATAAGGGCCTTACGAATGCCCAGTAACAGATGTGTCAATTTAACTCATAAATTTCATCCACAACCTCAGACATTCTTGTAGTTGAGGTTCTGCTTATCGCTGAGACTTGTAATTGTCAGTAGCAGTGTTAATTCAACTAGTTTCAGCAGAAATGATGTACTTTATACAATGATAAGCCTGCTGAAGATATATCACTGCATAAATCCGAGCTTATATATGTTTACGTGATTGATTAGAGAGCTTACTTGAGTGAGGAATATGTCTCAAGTGCTATCGATGATTTGTTCAAAGGTTTAAAAGTAATTTAAAGATTTAAAATATTTGCAAGATTTACACACTTATTTCAGCAGATAATTTATCATTTTTTATTTCTTCCTTGCAGATGTTTTAAACGATACGGATGTGACAAGAAAAAAATGTGTAATATTAGGTAGCTTCTTATTGTCACTGTTCTTCTTATTCGTCAGAATTGGTGATCGAACAGATACGTGTAAAAAGACAGCAAGTGTAAAACCCATATGCCAGACAGGTGTAAATTCTCATGAGGATGTCGAACGACGAGGTGAACAAGCGTGACCACAACTATAGCGAGGCTCTATTGCTGTCCCCGCAAACAACACCTTCACAATCGTACTCTACTGATGATGGTGATTACAACGTCAGTGTCAACTCTGTACCCATCCGGGGGAAATCCCGGCTGACACGTGAAATCGGTCAGATTAAGGACATTGACGAACTAAAGAAGATAGCACCGCGTGTGCGTCTGCAGGATGCTCAAAGTCTGAGTGAATTGACGAAGATTTCTATGAGTAACAGTAACTTACACAGCAATGTGTCAATTTCTGACAGGACCAAGCGAGAGCTGAAGAAGTACTGTCGTACCTGTGCTGGTTTGAAACTGCCCTTGGTAAGATTCCTTTTTACTGTCGTAACTATTTCTTTTACTTGTCAATTTGTTCATTACGATTATTTATTGGTAAAGAAATTCTGTTTTGTATAAATAAAAAAAGGACGAGATGATTCTTAAATGTAATCAGCAAAGACAAGACAAACTAATGAAAGCCAAAGAATTTTTGTATATATGAAAGAATTATTTGATGCATCAAGACATGTAGTGATGTAATTATTGCCAGTTGTTACTGATTTTCCTTTCGTGACATCTAATTCGATCTTGATGCTCTACGTTGTAGAAAGAGAAAAGACACGAATTGTCCAACATCATATCGACCGATTGTGTTGCAGGTGGACATCTTCAGCGAGCGGGGCAACCAAATGCGATTGAGCCAGCAAATGCGACATCTGGAAGTCATCTACCCTTACGACAACTTGTCCACGCAGATGTGCATGGACTGCATCTGCGACCTGAAGATGAGCTACAAATTTTTTATGCAGATCAAAAAAGCACAGGTAAAGCTTAAGTCAATTCTTGTCAACCTGACAACGACGATCGATAACGCAGCAATGTCGAAAAAACCGGTGATCGATGATCCTGAACCAACACAGCCTTCCACGGCGACGAAAGAGAACGAGCCGGAATCAAGGATAGGTAGCGTGCATTTTTATATCGTATGTGTTATTTAATTGAATTCATCGTTTTAACCTTATTTTTATTTTTTCTTTCATTATTTACCGTCTCAGTAAATTCGGATTATTTAGATGCTAATACTATGTCATTAATATATACTAATGACTTTGTATACTTATCAACCAGCAACCTCTGTAGCCGAGGAGAATCTTTTTACGTCGTCGCCTATAAACGAAGACGAACCTTCTCCCACAAGTCAGAAAGATGAAGAACCAGTCTCCGCTATTTTTTCGCTGCAGGATGACACAAAGGAGTCGACAGAGGAACAAGAGGCCATCGGGATTTTCGAGGAAGTGGTAGAGGTGGTGGGCGATGACGACGAGGAGGATGATGACGACTCCATCGAGGAGTTCGATCCGGAAGATCCGGAAGATGATTTCCAAGAGCAGGATGTACAGGTCGAAGAAGTCCAGCAAGAAGAATCACCAGCCGTTTATAAATACGATATGGCGCTGAAATCGTATGTGCGGCTGGAGGGAACCGCTGAAGAAGCGATAGCCGCCACTACTCCAGTACTGGCGCCTACCCAAGTAGTGCCTGTCTGCGCCGAAGGAGAGGAAGAAGAAGGTTCAAGAGAGCCAGGGCAGCCGAATATATTGAAGAAAAGGCTGCTAATGCCGGCGAGGACAAATTTGGAGGGAGAGTCGGGAAGTAGCGGAGGAGAGACGGCGGCGAAGGTTCAGAAACTGGACTTAAACAACCCTCTGAGCGTGAACAACGCCCCCGAGGAGGATGGAGTTATGTACGTGACCGTGAAAGGTGCCAAACCGAACGAGATACTCCTGGTGAAAGTTAGTTTGCCAAATACTCAAAAATAACATAAATTTCGAGAGAAGAGAAGAGAGATAAACGTAAGATATTTTAGAGAGAAATATCTTACGTTTTTATATTAACATTTTATAGATATAAAAAAACACAGTAGTAAGTAAGATCTTTTGATGCTTTCTGACAAAAAATATCAGCTGCGTAAATTTACTACGATCAGCACTCTCTTTCTATGTATATTGCTGTTTTTTTTTTTTCAAGTTATATTTTTTATTTTACAAATGTATATATTTCATGATTTTTAAATGTGTAACAGGTAAAAAAGATGGACAAGCAAGCAGAACGTACATCCGCTGAGACCAAGTCCGTCGAGCGTTTTTTTAAACGCCACGAGACCTTGTTGAAGGATTATTCGCGAAAACCGGATGCGCGCGAGCAAATAATCGAGGAACAAATTGAAGAATACAAGCGGAAGCGCGAGAAGATTCTCGGTGATCAGTCGGCGATGATCTTCTCCCTGAACGAAAGCCGAAAGGAGTCGCAGAAAGAGAGTTCTCCAGTTAAGTCAAATTTTGTTCAGCTAGAAGGGATAGTGAAAGAAGAAGAAAGAATGAATATAAATGAAGAATTGAAGGAAGAGGAGATGAATGTGGAGGAAGTGAACACGGAAAAGCCGAATATGAAGGCACCGAAATTACAACCGGAAGAAACAAACAGGAAGAAGGAAAGCCTGCAAAGAGAGCTGGAGCAGTCCTGCAAAGAGGCAGATTTGGACAGGTTGGCGAGAATCTTGGGCAAAGAGAACCAGAATCTGCAGGTAAAGATGAAGATAGAAAGTAACAGAGAGCTGTGCGTAAACACACGTCGGCTGCCGTGCCGATTTTCATTGACTGTACGAAAATCTAACTGACAATTGAAATACTAAAAATACAGTGTGTAAGTGTAATTTGAGATACATATACCTTTTACCTCTTATTTCATTGGCTTTTTATTGGCTGTACAAACAATTTGGTCGATGCAATTAATAATACACATTATTTGGAAAAGACTTTGTTCTTTTTTTTTTGTTTTGTTTCTAACTGATTCCCTATTTCCTGATTTTTTCAAGAACGAAACCCACTTTTCTCACTGTCTTTGGCCGCTCCCGTGTCTGCTTCGATCGTACGATCTTTTTTGCTATAGGAATTCCAAGAGTATCTGAAGCAGCGCAAGATTATCATCACGCGTCTCAAAGACGAGGATATCATCACTCTGTACGAGGATCGTCACAGCGTTCTCAGGCCTCGCGACGCTCTGCCCGACCTCATCGACACTTCATTGCCGGCCGATCCTCTCCCCGAGGAATATTACTTCGAGTGCGACTACTGCCCGGAAATGTTCTCCGCTCGCGAAGTCTTCGAGGACCACCTTAAGGCTCACGATTACCGCATAATGCACTACTGCGAGGACTGCGGTGAGGAATTCACGACCAACAAGGCCAAGAGGAATCACAACATAGCCTGCCTGAAGAAGCTGATTTGCAAGTACTGCGACATGCTGATGGACACTCGAGGAAGGAAGCGTCGGCACGAGCAGAAGCACGTGGATAATCTCTACGGTCAGCTGTGCGAGATCTGCGGGGAGCGGTTCAAGCACCAAGGCACCCTGGACCAGCACCGGAAGACTCAGCACACGATTTTAGAGAAGATCTATCAGTGCCCGAAGTGCCCGAAGAAATTCGCCTTCAAGCAGAAGCTCAGCTTCCACCTGAAGTCGGTGCACACGACCTTGAGGGCTTTCCTCTGCGAGGATTGCGGCGCGGATTTCAAGAATCCGGCCAGTCTGCGGCATCACCGTATCAGGAAGCACCAGCCGGTGGGCAACAAGCGCGAGTGCCCGGTGTGCAGGAAGCTAGTGCCATTTTACAGCCTGTCGAAGCACATGCACACCCACAAAGCGTACAGCATTCAGTGTCCGCATTGCGACAAGATGTTCAAGAACAGCTCGACGCTGAAGCAGCACGTGAGAATTCACGAGGACCAGAGGCAGTATCGTTGCGACACGTGCGGGGTAGGTTTCAACAGAAGGGACGGATTGAGGCTGCACATGAGGGTGCACCAGAAGACGGACAGCCGAGGGCTGAAGGAGTGCTCCTGTCAAGTTTGCGGGGAGAAGTTCCCGAATCACTCGACATTGGTGATACACAGGAACAGGGTGCACAAGGACGGCAGACAGTACACATGTCATATTTGCAACAGATCGATGATATCGACCAGGTCTCTAGAATGGCATATGTCGCATATTCATAAAGAATCTATGCCAGGTAAAGTCGCACGTAAGAGTCCTTAGGATTTTCAAAGTGTAATCACTGTTAATTTGACAATTATATTCAGGGTGTCGGAAAATGTTCGGCACATTCGTGGTGTGCAGGCTGGCTGCAGGTAGAACAGGTTGAGAGACGAACAGAAAAGTTAGGTGCTATTTTACAAAATTCTCAATGGTTAGCGAGGAATTCATTATTCTGTATAAGCTAATGAGCGCCGGTGCGAAGCAGACTGGACTCTGTAGGCACGTACAAAGATGATTACCAGTTCGAAAGGAAAATGATGAACTTCTTGGGATGTCCTAGCAACAATGAGAATCAGTTATGTGATGATGGTATCCCGCGTCCCACTATCTGCCAGCTCTGTGCCCAGCAAGCAGCGGACGACGGCTGATTTTTATCGTTAATTTACCGTCGCGAATTTCTCCAAGTGGCACATGACTCTCCCGTTCAGTTCAGCCCGTTCTACCCATGTACCACGAATGTATCGACAATTTCGGACACCCTGTATGTGATTTTTCTCGTTATGGTGGTCCAATAAATGTAATTATTCTTTCTCTCGCAGGAATTGTTCGTGACGAGTCCGGCCTGCCTGAGAAAAAGCGGGTTTCCTGTTACCATTGCAACAAGACATTTAAAACGGAGATGATCCTGCGCACGCATATCAAGAAAACGCACATGGAGAAGGATCCGATGAAGTGCGCCGATTGCGGAGATACATTCACGTCGGAAGTAAGGGACAATTTCGTGTATTGTGAGAACTCCGAGGATCCTCCAAGATTTCTCTCGAATTTCCATCGTAGCCACAAACACTCGAAGATTTCCGGTTCTCTAAAATTCCTCGAACTTACAGAACCCTGTGATATGTCGTTCTCTTTTGTGTCAGGTACGTCTGCGTCATCATATGATGGTCACGCATAATCGCCTGGAAGGCACCCTGGAATGCCCACATTGCACGAAACGTTTCGTCAACCAGCTGAGGTTGAAGACGCACATGATCTCGCACTCGGAGGAGAGGCCCTACACTTGCGAAGTCTGCGGTTTCACTCTGAAAACCAAGATCCAGCTGATCAAACATCATCAGAACCGACACAGCGACGAGCGGCCGCTGCAATGCAGGTATACTTTCGAAATCAATTCTTTCAGTGTCGACAACTTCCGGAAGTTTCACGAGTATCCGGTACTCGTTCCTAGTCCGTTCTTATATTTAAGAACGTCTTAAGTCTCATCCTCAGATGCTCCAAAGCCAATGAAACGACCCGTATGAAATGTGAAAATAGTGACAATGACGATAACATCAATGATCAAACCGACTTCATTTTAACACAACGACACAACCGAAAATACAAAAAGCCGTAATATTTAAAACATGTAATATAATTCGCTGATGTCCGTCATATGCCCGTCAAATCAAGTTGAACCGAAAGCAAACGAAGAGTACAGGGTGCGGCAGCGTAACTTCCTTATTTGAAATGCCCGCCTTTAAAAGAACGGCCGTAGAGGGGCGTTAGTGGTCTCATTTGAGAGAGGGGATCCTAAAGTTTTGTTTACCCCTCTGTCAGTCGCCATCATGCGTTGGAACGGTGTGTTTGCCGTAGAAGTGTACTTTTCTAACGGCGATTCGGTGATTGCAACCCAGCGTGCCTTCAGAAATCACTTTAATGTAGCCACGTTGGGCCCGGACCGGAAATCAATTCTTTCTTGGGTCAGTTCTTTCCAAGATACTGGAAATGTGACGATTAAAAAAATATCTGCCTCATAAAATGCATTTTATTGAATTTTGAAGAAAGGAAGTTACGCTGCCTGTAATAATGATGATGATAATGGTAATAACAATAATAGCTTTATCGGTCTTAAAAGGAAAAAAAGAAAAAAAGAAGTAAAGAAATAAGATGAACTTGAGCGCCGTTCAATGTCTCAAACTTGCCTTTCCACCTTCTCCCAGGTATTGTCCGTGGCGTTGCAAACAGGTGAGCGCTTTGGTGTGCCACGAGCGCACGCACACCAACGAACGGCCTTACGCGTGCAGCGTATGCCGGCAGCGTTTCAAGTATCTCGGCGACAAGAACAAGCACGAACGTCGCCACGAGAGCCTCGGCGGTGCCGGATTCAAGCGCATCGTGCCCGGTAGGAATATCAAGACGAAGCCGCGCGAAGATCAGTCTTCGGCGTCCGAGCAGGAAGTGGAAATCATGAAGAACCCAATCGTTATTAAGACGGACGCCGAAGGTGTCGCCGAATGTGTGACCGAGGAACAATTTGAAGAACAGCAGCAGAACGAAGTATTCAAAGAGGAACAGCTTGTGGAGTTTGAGGAACAACACATAGTGAAGTTCGAAGAGCAGCACATCTCGGGAGAATACGAACAGGTGTACGAGCAGGTGAATATCTTAGATCGGTCGATCGGTGTTTGCCATTCTCTCAAAACAAATTGTCGAAGGGTAGTGTAATGTAAGATAACGTAACGACAAACGAGACAGCGATATACAAAAAAATAATTGTGCGATAACGACCGCGTTTGTGCTTGTGTTTTTCCGAACGTGCCGAAAAGTAAGGAGTTTGTGGTCTCGCATTTCCATTCCCCGTATTTTCCGACTATTTCTTCCGCAACATTTCCGCATTCATAGCATTCTGCGTTTCACTCGATGCCTTTAATATTCTTATAATATTTTCACCACACCTGCTCTCCCGTAGGAATACGAAGAAACGTCGAGGGAGGCTTCAGAGGCCACCGAGGTGATCATGAACATGGAGGACCCTAGTGTGTACACGGAAGAGGTAACCGCCGACAATATAGAGGCCGCGGATATGATAACCGAGGACGAAATAATAACGGGCGATATCTTGCATTCGGCGACTGCCGGCGGCGCTACCGCCGCCGTCGTGCATCTGCAGCAGCAGGATGACTCTGGGAAAATTCAAGTAATACCGGTGATGCTGTCGCTACCCGATCTCACGGACGCCAACGCCGAGGTTAACCTCGCCACCGCGTCCATCATGTACAACAATTGACGCGTACTGCAATCGACGTCGAATGATTAATATTTACGTGCGACGGCCACGTCATGAACAATTTTATCGTGTGTTTGTTCGGAAAGATCTATAATTCGCGTCGAAATTCGATGGGAAATCCTACGTGAAGTTTCGTTGCGCAGCGGTCAGAAACATTTGCACGCGTTTAGAATGACGTCTGTTTCGGTGAAAATATGATCTCTACCTCACCGTCGAGTGGGTAAGCAGTGAAAATACCAACACTGTAAGTAAATATTGCATATCGTGGCTCTCGAATCTGTGTTGCAAATTACAGATCAGACGGAGGTATGTAATGCTTAGAAGAAAGAATTGGACTTTCCGCTGGAGTTCAGCCACGGATAAAACGCGAATTTCGCAAGAATTGAGCGGTCAGTGATATATTTAGAACAGTCGGTATACCCCACTGAACGCTCAACTCGTCTTTCATCAGTATATATAAGAATTGTAATATTGGCTAAAATTATAATATTCTAACGAGCTTGAGGTCTTCTTTCTTGTAATTTGACTTCATTCTCGCGACATTTTCCCATGAGTGGGAACTCAGTGGTTAAACTGGTCAGTGAATAAAGAAGATGTAACCGTCAACGAGCGTTGATACATGACTAAACTTAAGATTCCACGAATGGAAGAATGAAAGGAGGTTCAAAACGAGTAACACAATGAGGAAAGGAATGAGGAAGGATACAATTGCCTATGAAGCTTGGGTAGTATTAGCGACTTCACATTGATTTCATAAGCATTTTTTTCAATCCTCTTTGTGCTTCGCTTTCGATATAAAAAATCGCATGAATTCTTTCGATTGCCTAAGTATTTCCAGTGGTTCTAGATAGTGCGAATACGAAGCTTATAACGTGAATGTCGATATGGAGACGTACGAGAAAGAATGAAATTATGGTAGATTCTGAAACAAAAACTAACAAACTAAAAAAAATAGAATAACAAAACTTACATTTTTATATATATAAATAAATAAATATATATATATATATATGAAAAGCATGTAAAAATATAATTAAATATCGCAAATACCACAGTATGGACTTGTATGAATAAAAAATTGGAAGACGAAGTAACAAAGGAGTAACGAATTACAAATAAAATAACAGAATAGACAATTTTACATCTGCGTATGGAAGGACGTAAAATAAAGAGATAATTAGTTTATGTTCTCTAAGTATATACAAACACGGGAGAGATGAAAGTTTTTCTTCCGAACGGAAATGGAAGTTACACTACTGTCTAAAATATTAGGAACATATAGGCACAAAATTAAAAAAAATAGACTTTACATAAATTAGTATCATCTAATGATAAATAATTTCATTTAATTTTAATTATATTTTATATTAGAAATATATAAATTATGTTTTATATGTATCTACAATTACACATACATTATATAATGTAAATGTATGTAAATATATATACACATATGAAACACAATTTATACACACACACACACACATATAATATGTATATTATATAAAAATTTAGATAACATTATAAAAGTATATAATTATTTTTTAGCTGCGTTCCTAAGCTTTACGACGGTAGTGTACATAAATTTAACACTCCGGTCTATTGAAATTCCAGTATATATTCAGGAGTCTTTAAATATAGCTGTGAGATTTATTTTATATATTAATTATAACAAGAGAGGAAGAATTAAATAATTAAAATATTACGATTCTCTAAGTATCTCGGAAATGCGATTCATTTTACTTTTAATTGATAACTCAGTAGTAAATATATTTCCTGGTATTGTAGTTTCCATGGACGGTAGGATGGTGGATACGTTACACTTGTGTCAAATGAACTCACTGGTTGTCCTATGTTATAAATGTACTTTTAACCCGGATCTTTCGTGGCATGGGATTTGAAAAGAAACAAATCTGCTCACGGTGGTTTTTGTCTTTAAGATTCTCAGATCCTTTACATTTTTAGAATCTTTGAGTTTCTGCTGAAAATCCTTTTATCATGAAATCCGTCAACTTTTGCTTCAGATCTTTGAATATTCTTTTTATGTGGTCAAACGTTTAGGCCTTCAAGCGATTACTTTATCTAATCATGGAAACATAGGTCATCATTATATCATACAATATATTATATATCACAATGTATATATCTCACTCATTAAAATATAACGACGGAACATTTTATATTGAGGTAGAACGGTCCCAAATAATAAGAATTAATCATAAGAGAAGCTCAGAATGGTTAATCGCAAAAGCTACGTAATGTAAAGAATGTGAAGGAGAAAGGAAATGAAGTGTCATGATTATTAAATACAAAGAACTGACGGGGCTTTTAACACTTATTTTGTAGCATAGTGTAATAGTGAATAAGCTATTTTGTTGAAATCGGTGAGCAAAGTGTATATGCATGCATGCGTGCGTGCGTGCGTGCGTATATGTGTGTATGCGTCTATGTTGTGTATTACATAAGTTACTCTGCGCATTATTATTATTATTATTATTATTATTATCGTCCTTGCGAACGTTAGGTTTGTCTTCTATTCCTGCACCGGGACTGCACTAGAACTGAAATAACGCAAGCCAGAACCGACGAGTGTAAGCGTGCAGCCGAAGAATGAAGAATGCTTTAGTGTAAAAATAACATGACGCGCTACCTTGCAGCTGTAGAATCGAACAATTATCATTTTCAGCAGCAGCTGGCTTCTAACTTGTACATCTGAATGTTATAAATGCTCTATATTGAAATATAAATATTGTGAAATCTCCTCGGTGTCTAGGAAAGCTCTTACTTTCATACTTACTGTTTGACTCTTTGCTTTGGTTACTGTAAAATAAGTGTCTGACGAAAACTTACCTAAACCTATAAAATAGAAGCGATAACTTTGGCTATTTAGGTGTATTATTTCGCACGTATCCATACGTGTATCGTGAATATTGGAGTGAAAGTACGATAATTTAAGAATAATAATTGCCATACAGCAATACAGGCTACTTAATGTTTCTTCGCGCACTCTTATTCGAGGGCGCTGAATTCCGCTGTACTGGAATAGAAAACGACGCCAGTTCTGGAGTAGAAGACGCTTCAGTGCACACTTCTTGAATTAATGCGGTTAATGCAGAAATAGAAAACGAACCTATCATCGTGTTTACGCAATTGTACTTGAACACAATGGACTAACATCGTCATTATACACACACTCACGCGCGCGTGTGCAAAGTTTGCACTTCCCGCTGTACTTCTTTCGCAATTGTTTTCTTTCTCGTCTTCCCCCATACGATTGCAATTATTTCCCTACAATTTTTCTTACTACTTTTTCGTTTCACTTTTTTCCTCTAAAGTACGAAGTATGTATAAGGATATCTACTCCATGTAACACATTATTTCACAATAGCGAATTCTTTCATCCGTATATAGAGCAGAGTTCCTTTTAATAAAAATGTCATTACATACTGCGACTCCTCAATTTCTACCGTTACACAAGCCAAGGTCGTGGCCTCTTTCGGAAGTCTTGAGGATACTAGCCTATACGGTTAACATAAATCATCCGAATCGAAAGTTGAAGGATTCGTAATGATTATATTAAACTGTTGCCACGGCATGCAGCGCTCTCGGTTATCGGAAGAATTGTAGAGAGAATTCCTTAGATTATGCAATTCGTTTAAAATTAGAATTTATTTCTCCATTGTAATACAGAAGATTGTTTTCATATCCATATCGTCGCTTAAGAATTGACTTTTGGCGATTGCTTGTCGCGAATAGCTGTTTAGTAACATTAAACAAAGCGGCAAGAGTACTCGAATAAACTATGTATATTCTACAAATGCTAACAAGTGATATCGATATTGATAAAAATAATCGGTAAGTCACGAAGGAAAAGGATCCGACGTCGTACGGGAACACAGCGACGTCAAGACCCGGAAGAAGGCTTCGGCGCGTGACGCTTACACACACGAAACACCTCTCGCAAGATTTAATTGTCACACTTGAAATCCAGTGGTGTGGCTCTTACAGACTTTACAATTTTTTTACACGTACATGTATATTTTATTTATAATTTTCATTATTATAATATATATTATTATAATATGCATATGTATATGTGTGTATATATATACACATAATTCCTTTTTATTTCTACCTACATAGAAAATATTAAACTCTGCGATCTTCATTTGTACAAGGTGAAACTCTATTTTACACACTGTGTAATCGTCGTGGATATACAGGGTGATGTATACAAAAGAGGAAGTGGTCTCTAGTAAATAACGAGCAGCAATAAAAAATAATTTAAAAAGTTCGAGACTGCAGAAATACAATGTACGTAGGCTTGTAGTTGCACGGCTGTTATTTTGGTAGAAGAGATCGGAGATTTTCAAACCCAAACCCGCCCAGTTTTGGAGTGTTGAACACTCAAAAGGGTGGGAGAGAATTTGACTGTTCAAATATTGGGGAATTTTTGGCTCATTTCGGTACACATCATGCCTCAGGAACGTCAGACGGCCACAAGTCCGTTCACTTTATCAACTTACGAAGATATCGAGTTTCATGTGTCTCACTTTCTGTACGCTAAATTCAAAACCGGTTTGCATATTTTTTCTTTTATGCAAATCGAGAACTTGCTTTCGATTAATTCCCAGAGATTAGAATTCTTTCGTTAGACCATTCCGCTGTATCCCGAACTGCATCGAAGAAAAAAGTATTTTGAAACCGTTTTGAAGCCCAGTGTGCCCAGTGTGCTCATATATTCTTGAAGATAATTTCTAACAATCTTTTAATTTTAATTAACGCTTCTACCTATTTAGTTCATTTTGTATCAAGACTTTGGTAATATTCGGCGAGCACTTGCCACGCCTTGGGCGACATGAAACCGTCCGGCGGATCTTGGCCAGCTTTCGCCAATCCTACAAACAATCGATTGGTTTATAATAATTACCGCGCTAATCATTAGATCAATTAGACGGATGAATTAAGGAGGATTGACAGAAATTGGAATAAATTAAGTGAGAATAAATAATAGAATTATATTAGGTAAGAATTATAGATTAATTAGAGCTGTTAATTAATTATAAAATAAATTAGATAGTAAGACAGCGACCGACTGAGCTTGGAAGATATTCGCGATCGAAACTTACCTCGCATCTTGGTGCCTGAAATGAACTCGAAATCCTGCTTCCTCTCGGGCTCGAAGAAAGCCATCTTGGCGTGTCTGCTGTCGTAAGCGGCCACGCGAAAAGGAATTATCTCGAGGCTGTGGAGACCCCGGGCCATGGAGAGCACACGGGCCCCGTGAGTGGGGTCGTAAAGGTTGCCGTCGGGAGTAGCGTCCTTGTCGGGGTGTGGAATACCCGCCGGATCTCTGCCGACGATGTAGAAGTTCGCGCCGGCGTTCATCCTGGCCTTCGCGTGCCATTGCACCTGCGGAACCATCGCGTCCGTTATCGTGTTAATTCAACGAATGTAGAGACGCGGCATGTGTCGACACAGTTATGAAGCGCTCCGCACCTCAATCGGCCCAGCATACATCATCGGACTGGGGAAGATGGCCAGCAGCGTGGAATTGGAGTCCAACACACCTTCATCTAGGACGGCCTTGTGCTGGAGGATCCTGGTGTAAAGTGGCACGTCGTCGTCCTTGGTCCAACCGCCCAGCGGATGTAGCAGCAACACGGGATTTTTGAAACCCCTCTCTTCTAGCAAGCGTTTCCTCGTATCCTTTGCAACAGATACAGCAGAATACATTTAATCCTAGAACTCCTAGAAGATATATATATATATATTTAGATTTTTAGATTTTGGAGGTTCGTAAAAGATATCAGGATTACTTCGGAGACCACGGGTTCCTGAACGAAAGTTGCTCTATTCCGACTCTTCTATACGTTCCTTAAGTTTGTCAATAACTTGTTGAATCACCCTACATATAATATAACATGCGATTATATAAACAGGTATTAATTGATTAATATGAAAGATATAAGAAGAGAAGAGAGAAGTTGAAGAGGGAGGAAGCCTTGTGTTAGAATTAGAATGAAAAATCCGACAAACCTGCATCAGCAGCGCGTGGCCGTTATGTATAGGGTTCCTCAGTTGGAAAGCGAATACCGCATCGGCCCGCATCTTCCGGCACTTCATGCGGATCTCGTTGGGCGTGAGCCGGTATTTGTCGAGGCCGTCGTGCCAACGGATCCTCTCGAGCACCTCGAGGTCGCCGCCCATCAACCAGTCGCCGGAATTGTGAATCATTTTGACGTAAGGATGCGCCAAGTTATTCGTGCCGAACTGCCAGCAGCAGCGCTCCTCTTTCCGATGGAAGTAGAAGTCTGGTCTTCGCAAGATCGCCAGGGCCTTGCCTTGGTACCTCAAGGTCACGGCGAACGAGCCCTCCAGACGGTCCTTGTCTGCCGTGCTGATGGCTAGCACGATCGGCACCGATTGGTTCATCTCTTTGCCGCCCTCCAGCAGGCATCGCAAGTGTTGGGCCTTAAATGATATGGTTGACGATAAAGTAACGATGAAGCCGGAAGACGACGATCCAGGACGATGCGAGAGAAAAAGATAGATCTACGGTTCAAAAGGAGGAAGTAAAATCGTGCACCTGCAGGTACTGATGCTCCCTCATGAATCCCGTTAAAGGCGCCGCCCACCCTTCCGCCAAAACCTGCACCCATTGGACGTCGAGCTCACCGATCTCTACGCTCTGAAGAGTCTCCGCTTCCGCTTTCGTAGCGGCCAGTCTGGAATGTGACACGAAGAGCTCTCGGATCGGCGCCGAGGGCTTCTCCAGCTGTGGAATTATGTGGTTATTCTCGAGAAACTCGATCACAGCCAAGGCGGACTCCTCGGGGGTGCAGTTCTCCGTCCTGACCACCAGATCAGGCTGCACCGGTCGCTCGTACATCTGATCGATGCCGGTGAAGCCCTTGATGGTGCCTTCGCGGGCCTTCTTGTACAGGCCCTTGGTGTCGCGAGCCTCGCACACTTGCAAGGGCGTGTCGACAAACACCTCGTAGAACGGCAAGTCGGCCTCCCTGCAGATCAGATATCTTCCAATGAGACAAAGTAGAATATAACAGAGCAGGTCAAGGAGAAGAAGGAAATATATATGCGGTAATTAACAGCTAATCATCGTCATTGCTTAATCGCCCGAAATATTTGTAAACCTTATCCAAGGCTCGGCTATCTCTCGACAGTCATACTGGTTTAAAACGTCAAACGTGAGAAACGACTAGCAGTAATGTTTTTTACGGCTATAGCCTCATTTCTCAGTTATTTGAAAAACATTAGTTTCGTAATCTCGAAGCCTGCAAAATATGCGGTAAACTGTCTAATACGACGTTACCAGTTATGGTAATGGGTTGTTTTCCAGCTATCTCAACTATCACGGCCGTTTAAGTAAGCGATCACATTTTGCGATTCTACGTGGTATATATATATATATATATATATATATAACAGGTTTTGTAACGTCACAGGCAAGAAATGATACGTAGTTTCTTGCGACGTTTTTCCTTGAAAGAAATATAATAGTTCCATAATTTTGAAATCTGAATATGTAACAAATTGAGTAGTCTATCCGATATATATATATATATATATATCGATATATCCGATATATATATATCGATATATCCGATATATATATATATCGATATATCCGGTGACGTTACAAAACCTGTTTGGCTGAATAAACAGCCTAGATTGCCTAGATAACTGCGCCTTCAGTAATTTCCAATACAGCAGCTTTCAGCATATACCAGCCCCGCTGTAGCGCAGCTAATCGAATTTGCTATAACATTAGTTATCATGTCTACGTCGCACTTTGGTTAACGAAGACCTAAACTAAATGTTAAAAGAGTTTAGCTTTATTAGAAGATTGAATATAATGATACGAAGCAAGAGTATCTGCCCCTGTCGGTTCTTATCAGCTCTAAAATCAGCAGTTTGTCTCCTCCCCCCCCTTCTTTATCATTTATCTAAATCAATCTCTACCTGTGAATTTGTCTAGCCATTTGCCGATCCTCCTCGAAGGGAGACACGAAACTGCAGAGGCAAATTTGCCCACTGTCGGCGAAGAGTTTCGCCACTTCCGCCACCCTGCGGATGTTCTCCTTACGGTCCTGCTTGCTGAAGGACAGATTTCGATTTAGACCGCTGCGCACGTTGTCACCGTCCAGGCCGTACGCGGGGATCCCATGGTTCACCAGGATCGCCTCCATTTGGAACGAGATGGAAGTTTTCCCGGCACCCGACAGGCCTGTCAGCCACACCGTGCAACCGCGGAAGCCGCGGATGCTGCCGATCGCCTGGCCTCGCTTTGCCCGTGACACGTGATGCGCCTGCTCTGATACGTTTGTGCATGTCTGAAACAAACGTTGTATTAATTTTCGGATAACAAATTCACACTCATCGTTGCAAAAAGGAAAAAGGTGCCGCCGAGAATGTGTACACACACACACACACACACACATACGCACACACACAATGAATTAGTAAAATCAGGCACATTAATATAATCCAAAGTCTTCAATAATGTTGGTAAATAGTAAATTTGGATTAAGATCAAGGCAGAGGAATCGTACAGTGGGCCAAACCCAAATCAAAATGGGACAAAATTATTTCAGTACTGACATAAGAGACATACAAAATATGGATATTACAACAAACAATATTTGAAACATTCTAATTATATAATTTTCACATGTATTTTATATATAAATGTATAACCGAGAACAAAAAAGAAATATACTCTGACAATTTTTATTTCTGTCTTTATAGCTAGATTTAATAGTGTTAAATAAAAGGGCAGTTTCTTAGTGACACCATTCTCTTTTGTTCTAATTAAAATTGAACATCTACTAAAAGTCTTCCTTATCATTGTTTAGCGATGAACGGGAAATTCACACACAATTACCTCCTTTAAAAGAATTCTCCTGAAATGATCAGACAGTATCTCCTAATATTCTCTGACCTATGCAAACGGTTTGCATTTTTGAAAGGTGTTAAGGAATTTTTCTGAAAGTTACCCCCCCATTCCCTCACCTCTGGGAAGGGTTGCGATCCCTACATGACCCCAAAAGACTAGCGCCTCGGGACCATGAAGAATGCCCAAAACCGCTTCTATCTAAAACAGGAAAAAAATACGAAGAGGTATTACTTTCTTTATGGACACCATGTATATATTTTAAATATACAAAAGAAAATAAATATATATATCATTATTTTAACATGATCTCTTTAATTTTGTCCCATTTTGCCTGACTTGTGGTCCACCATGCGTCAAAACAAAAAAAAAAAAGTCTTAAATATTAAAAAAGCCTACAAAGAACACGCGTATCTCTTCCTATTATTTCAATACCGTTTCATTTTATAACAATATTTTTACCTATGATTCAAAGATCATCGTGATATAAGAATGATAATACAATATTGCACATAACAGCGAAAAAAAAGAGAGGAAGGAGAGAGAGAGAGAGAGAGAGAGGAGATTGCGCGCATGTGTATGATGTGTGGATTAGTTTGCGTGTGTATCTACATCTAATCTGCACTGCCATGCAGCGCAGCAGATTTTTTTTACGATACTGCAAAAAAGATGAGATACACCGTGCTGGTATTCGCACTTCTAGCGTTCGTACATGTCACATGAGGAGATTTACGGTAACGGAAAACTGGTGAGCTGAACGAATCATAGGGGACCTGTCGAACGGAGTGTCTCGTGCCGGACACATTCTCACGAGGTGGCTCATTAGCGGCACAGCGAAAGCGGTATGTTATTAAACGTGAACACTCACTGTCATTAACTTTTTACCCGGCGGAGCAGCGGCATTCTCCTTGCACGACATGACTGCGACGCGTCAGCGAGTGTAAATTACGTGGCAGTCGGCTAACCCACTGCGATTGAACGCGACAGTCCGCGCCGATCGCCGCCGGTGCCACTGTATGTACTGTCACAGCAAGGCTACGATTTTGAGCTAGCACTCGCCTAGAACGGTACCCTCTCCACGCGGCTTCCTCTTACGCACACATTGAGCGCGCTCCGTCCGCGCCGACCGTCGCGTGAGTCATCTCGCGCAAAGCGAGAGCGAGAGCGAAGCCAATCGGTATATCCGGCAAACTTGGCCAACGCATCCTCAAACCCCGTATCAGACTGTGGATTGCAATTGAGATTGGCTTAAAATTTGGCCAATCGAAGCAAGATTCACTAAACTTGAATTTAGTGAATCTTGCTCTGATTGGTTAAATTTCAATCGAATCTCAACCCTAATCCTTAGTCTCGCCAACGTATATCCCCTCCAAGTCCTACAACTTTTGTCTGAAACATTTCTTTATATTTTGTTTATTTCCTTTATATTATTTAGACTTGTAAAATTAAGCGATTCACAATATATGTGAACATTTTGTGTGATTTCAATGAACAAAAATTTCTTCCTCTTGTTATTTTGTCACAGACAAAATAAAAAATTTATCACAGACACATTCCTTTCCTAATCTTGTAAACACGCAGTATATATGTGTAAATTAAAATACAATTTTACAAATGATGTGTGGCATTAAATTCAAATATATCTTACGCCAATAAAATGTCAATTAAATGTTAATAATATGTCAATCAATTTTTTTGTCTCCTATAGCCTTACAAGCTATATATATAGACAAAACAATTTTCAAGCGGTCCATTAACAACAGAATAAACTAAGCTGATCACGTTGCGTAATTCATCCAGTATATACCTTTACATAAGATTCGTATAAGAAGTTAGGCCACTTTGACTTTTAAAACATGGAAATTTCACAGAAAACCTGAAGACGGCATATGTTACTTCACAATGATAAGTCTTTTACGCGACTCGTTGCGTGCGGAAATGTGCAATTCCAATTTGACTTCAAACACTATCACTTCTCGTTCACAGATAAAATACTGAAGGACGAAGTTTTCAGACGCACGAAAAAAATGTAACGTTCTCTCAGTCCTCAGCAGCGAGTAAATTTTATTTCGACAAGCGATGCTCGTCATAAGTAGAGAATAACAGGACACATTTAGAGAGTAACGACGCACGGCTTTTCGCAAAAACACACAGGAAAGTAGAGCGGTTGATTTGCTTTCGATGTTTTATTCGTCGTAAAATAGAGTGTATACATTCTGCATAAATATAAGAGAGTTACAAAAATTCAGGTCTACGCACGTTGTGACATTTGCGAGCTAGGAGTTCGCATTGTTGTCAACACGCGTGCTGCCGACTGCTCCTCGAACACCGCCGCAGGGTCTGTTACTACCCTATATTGAATTTTTCAAAAATTCCAACTACATCGTGTAACAAAATCTGTTATGAGATGCAACAAGTGTAAATAGTAATTTATTGGGAAATAAAATTAAGTAAATAATATTTCGAAGCCCTCTAAATAGTGTGGCTTGAAATTAATAAATTAGCAATTAATGGGAAATGAATCAATACATAATTAGATACCGACACAGTCACCTAAAGGACCTTAAAGGGTATTTTCAGCTTATCTTAAAGGAAATAATTGCACTATAATATATTGCAATTGTAATAATATACAATTTTCTTCATTTTCTTAAAAACGAGAAATATAAATTTTCCGAGATGCATGGAATGCAAGGCCTCATTAGCCATGTATCTCATGTGGACACACGCCAGTGCTCGAGGGTCAGAAACGTAAGGGGAGGAGGTCGAGAGGCAGTTGGATAAATACAACTTTTGGAGAACGATGAGATCGCGCGTGCCTTCTTCAATTCGTCTGATTGTTTTCACGAGGGCGACGATAATACTACGAGTTTCCACATGCGATGATAATAATAATAGTAATAATGTTAATTATATATAACCACAAAATATTAATAACATTATATCATTACGAAGCAAATAAAGAAAAAAAAATGGAATAAAAGTATTTTTAATTAAAATTAATAATTAACGATTGTTATAGAAAAAAGAAACCTATATAATTAGATATTTTTCTGCGGTATATCCGTATAAAAATAGAATCTCTCGAATAATTTCTAAATTTAAATACTCGACAAGAGAGAGAGAGAGAACGATAATTGCGACATTGCAATTTTTAATTCCTTTTTACTCATCGTTCGACCAAAAGGGTTTGCAGATCATTTTCTTGCCCGGTCGACGGTAAGTCTACGATCTGCGTAGGATCTTACAAGAGTGGAACAGGCAATTTTATCCTCTAACACACATAAATCGCGAATGAGGGGCTGCACCTCTCGAGAGCTGTTTCGAAATGCAAAGGAATCTGCTTCTTTTATAACAGATATTTTTAAATTGCAAGGTTACATACTATTAAATTAAAAACCTGCTTTTTCTTTAGCTAGGGTTCTCTTTCAAACATCTCATGCTGCCAAGAACTTAACAAAGTTTATATCTTCAAGTACAAGTGGCGATATTATTGAACGTTTTCATATCACGAGTAATCTCGTTATGAGTAAATGAATTCACGGGGGGGGGGGGGGGATCACCGCCCAAAATTTT